AGAGTTTTTAAACCGTATATTCTTTTTGATATAGTCATAGAATTTTACTTTTTGATAAAATATTATGATCTCGACCGTACTAATTTATAGAAATTTTCCTGTGTAAGATTTTTAGTAGCTTGATCATGTTTGACTTTATATACTAAGACTACGTACATATCTATCATAGTGGTTGTTTCTAACAATATTTTACTTATAAAACAAAGAAAAACATTATTTTTGTCTAATAGACATGGTTATTCCCTTCATTACTGAAAATCACAGTGTTCTAGAATATGATAAATGTACAGTAGAACATTGTATAGTTTATAGATACTGTATATATATAATCATTTGTGCAAGAACTATTTGGTAAATACTTTTGTACAAAAAAACTATAAATTAACATAAAAATTCGTTAGTGTATGGATATGTAATTACTATGTTTATAATGAAAGTGAACATAAAATCATATTCAGGTTAATATTACCAGAAAATTATATACATGAATACCCCAAAATAAATCTCAAGTTATTAATAAGCATTGAAATAATAATCTAAATAGTTAAAAGACATATAAATAAAGAAGTCATTTTACTTTTCATCGTAGATATTATATAACACTATGGCTTTTTACCGTATAACATAGATTATAAAAAGAAGCTCTAGTTCGCAACCCATAACTCATAAAAGCATCTTAATTTATTTTAGCTCATCTTATTAGAAGATGAATGCTTTCTATCGATATATTAAAGCTTTTGTCGTCTTGTTCATTACCAAATTAAAATTCTGTCAAAGAAATAGCCCAAACAAGCAAGAGCTTAAGGCATGTGCCTAACAAACACATCCATGTCTCCATCTCACTCACATATATAATTTGATGCTAGTAATTTTCAATTTACTTCTATTAATTAAAGTATATATACTTACTCGAATTGCTGTATAGAGAAAGATATTCATAATTATTTTCATAAACCTCTCATGGTGATGATATATGTGGTTATGTGCAACCAATTAATGTTATCACATTTGGTTTTTTACACTAGTTGAGGAACAATACTCAGATATTGCTACTTAAGATGTATGATATGTGTTGGTTAATTGACAAAAATGATTCAACTTCAAGATTTTTTAGACTAATGCAAAATATTTTGTCGGATTTGTAGTAGGCCTAACAATTAGGAACAACACCCAATCACCACTTACTTCTCCACAAATATTAGGGTTCACACATAATTTAATAATACTTTTTGCATTGTATTATAAGGGTTCACATATTGACTTGTTTCGTCTTTTTCTTAACAAAATTGCCAAATAATAACAGTCTTTTATAGTTTTAACCTTGGCTAACAACAACTTCAACAATATAAAGAATACTAGGAATTGCCCACGCATTGCGTGAGAT